AAATGGAACAATTAAATGAGAGGATAATTAATGTTGATGAGATAGATGTAATGTCAATTATAAATATTATTTGTTTGATCATTTTTGTTTTATCATTAGAAAAGTTGGTTAATATGAGTGCCAAGATAAAAGTTTTAGAAAAAACTTGTTAAGACAGATCATAGAGATATTCAGACCCAGACAGAAGAATTTAAAGGTGAACCAATCTCAGCTTTGCATTATAAGGTTACAGAGAAACAGTCTAAGGCTTTCAAACAGCCAACCTTAATCTATCCAGTAACCTTATAGGAACTACCCAGTGATAGATATCCTCAATGCTGTGTAAGAGCTGACTGGACTCCTGTGCAATGTTAGATTTAAGAGATTCAAAGAAGCAATAGTCTTGTATGGCATTCACTCATCTTTCCTGAAGCATATGTTAAACTTGTGGTCAATTTGTAATAGAATTATCCCTCAAGATTGCAGAGATTTGGTTAAAGCAGTTTTAGATGCTGTTCCCCAATTACAATGGAGGTCTTGGTTAAAGGATGAGGCTAAGACCATGAACAAGGAAGTAGACCTGGTATGAAAATTTCCCAATATCAACTTCTTGGAGAGGGCAATTATACTGATATGCAAAGACAATCTTTATATGATGACCACACACTGGCTTTATGTCAAATGGCAGCCTTGAATGCTTGGGACAGAATTGAAGAAGTAGGAAAGAAAATTGAGTCATTTATAAAAGTTATACAGGGCCTAAAAGAAACCTTCACTGATTTCTCACAAAGATTGACTTCAGCAGTAATAAAATGATCCAGAAGCTAGACAGATAATAATTGAATCTATGGCTTTGGAAAAGCCATACACACAATGCAAAAAAGATAATTAGGCCATTAAAGGCAAGATCAGCACCCTTGGAGGAATGGATATGAGATACAATAAATATTGAATCTCATGATCATGATGATGCGTGGATAGAAGAGATAATTTCCAGAGGTTTGAAGGAAAATAGTAATGTCAGATGTTTCAATTGTGGTAAACAAGGTCACCTAAAAAGGGACTGTAAACAGGGCATTCCTAGAAATAATGTTTTCTCAAGGAATAATTCCAACAGAATGCCCCTCCCTTCTGGATTATGCAGAAGGTGTGGAAAAGGTAGACATTGCACTAATTACTGTAGATCATCAAGGGACAGACAAGGTAATCCCTTGACTTTGCCATTGGGAAACTCCCTGAGGGACCTCTCACAGGTCCCCATGTCAAATTCAGTTCAGTCCTTTCCTGTCACCATGGAAGAAACCAGAGCAATTAAAGAACCTAATGCTTATTATAAAAAAACATCCTGCTTTGGATGATAGAAGAGCTATAGAAGAGAGAACAAAAAATTCAGAGGAAATCATAGAGCGAATTTTTTGGCAAACTTCTATAAATGAACAAAGACTAAAATTAAGAATACAAATAAATGACGTCATTGAAGGTCTTGTAGACACAGATGTGAATGTAACAATAATTATACCAGAATTTTGGCATCAAAATTAGCCTCTTCAGGAAGTAAATGTTCAGCTTTTAGGGGTTGTAGCATTATCTCAAGTGAAACAGAGCATGAAATGGGTCAAATGTATAGGGCCAGAAGGACAGAAAGGAAAATTAAAGCCATATGTGGCTAATATAGCTGTGAATCTGTGGCGACATGATTTATTACAACAATGGAATACCCAGATTAACATTCCTCCAATCTCAGAAACAAACCATAAACTAACATATGTTTCTGAGAAAAATATTAGGAGATATTATAAAGAACATTCACTGACCATCTAGATTGTACAAGAACAGGGCACAACAGCTGCTGTATCTTTCAAAGACACCAACAGCCCTGCCTTTAAAATGGTTAACAGACAAGCCCTATGGGTTCAGCAATGGCCTTTTACAACAGAGTAGCTACAGGCCTTACAACAGCTGGTACAAGAGCAGTTAAATGCTCAGCATATTGAAGAATCAACCAGCCCTTGGAATTCTCCTATATTTGTTATTAAAAAGAAATCTGGTAAGTGGAGAATGGTAATAGATCTAAGAGCTATTGACAAGGTAATTCAGCCAATGGGCTCTCTACAATCTGAAATTCCCTTGCCTACTCATCTACCTAAAAGGGTGGCCTCTTAATAGTTATAAATTTAAAA